ATGACAGTCACAACAGTTAAAATTTTAACCGGCGTAAAATTATCTATCCATCGAATTGTAAGCGATACAAAGGTACCAACATATTTGCTACTAATATTAGATAAGGTTTATAAAAGATACTTTTATCTATCTATAGTCTTCTACGTATCTTTCATAGACATTATCTAATACTATATGAAACCAGCTGCCCAATGAAGTATTCCGAACCATTCGACTAGGGTCCTTCAAGAAAAGAGTGTACCAATTCTTAAAAGGCCCGCAACGCACTCCCGAGCCCTTCGACGTTAAGAGTGTCCATGGGACATAGATGGTTCAGATGAGCCCGTCCTATTCTATAAAAAAAATTAAACGCATCTTACACCTAGGAAATAAATAACGCGTGTCATCGCATTTCTTACTTCGATTATCTGCTAAACATTTTCTAAAGTTACATACATTACGTTTTAGACCAAAAGATTATTATTTCACTTTTACTGAACGATTCTTAACGCAAAAATTACTTGTAAATTTCATTAAAAAACATTTACTGTCTTCATCTACCAAAAGAAATCTTTCGATTGAAACGCGCGCTGTTATTTAACTTTCTCTAGCTAAAGTAAACATTAGGTGAAATCCACTCTAAGACTGAACATTGTACGTGATTTATTTGCTACCGTATTTTATTATCTGTCAATTGCAATTGTTCTATCAATACAATATTTTGCATTCAGAAGCTCTTCAAAAACGTTAATAAAATGTATCAGTTTATGAAATGATATCCATATCACGATAATATGTTCAAATGTTACAATTATAAAAACATTAGTAGCTGATACTACGTCAATCAACTAACATATAGGTTACAGATGAGCTCAGGATTTAGGACGTTCTTGGATACTTATTTTATTAATATAACCAATTAAGTGTAACCCAATAAACTATAAGCAAAAACCATAATTGGTATACTATACAAACATCCCATACATACAACTAATAATTAAATATTATTAACTTATTAATTATTAATTACATTTTGTAATTAAACTACATATACAAGCTTTAAATCTTTAATTGATATAACGCACTAATCTGTCTTTCAAAAGCTTATACAAAATTTACAAAACCAAAATTTAACAGATTGCACTTCCGTATTCCTCTTGAAGCCCCATTACCTTCCTATTTTTTGCTGTGATTTCCTTTAACACTATTAAATTTCGCCAGTTCGGATGCTCACGATGATTGCCCAGGTGAGCCATCTGTTGTATGTCCTTCCATCCAAAGTATTAACATGTCAACGGAAGCGGGCTATATTGTGCCCATGATTAAACAAACAACTGGCGTGATTTTTAAAGGAAAAGCGTCCAGATGAGCGCAGTATCTTGTGACATGAACGAAAATAATTTGACGCAGCCGCTCCACGGACGACATACGGGGACACGTGGGTACGATATATTACACGCGAGCTGTGCACTAAAAATATTGTGTTGGCAAATTAATGGGCATTCCCGACGGTAGGTTGTGGGATGAAAGGAAGTGCCTTTTATATGTGAAACGTTGGTTTTATATGAAAATGCGCGGCAGCCGCTCACACCTGTCCGCACGCTTTGCGTCCACGATTTGAGAAACTCTGACGCTGGGGTTGTCAACACGTACTAACTAGAGTTCATTAACCTACCTTTTATCAATTATATACTGATGATATTTAGAACAGAAACGTAAATAAACGTAAAATAAATAGTAAAATTACGGGATTAAATTGAATGAAAATGCTTCCAGAAAGTTCAGATAATTATTCAGTCATATCAGACACGTGCATAACGCACTTGATTTCTAAAGACACAAACTTGAATTTTAAGCAATATGCGATTTTATATTTTCTTTGTTGATTTGCACGTTTTTATATTTCAGTTTGATACAGCCCTATGATGAACGGATGTGACAAAGAAGACAGTAGTAGTGTGCGTCAGTTTCGTAATAATTGAGCAGATTAATAACCCTCCAGGGTGTTCATATTTCGCTGACATCTCTAGCTGGACCGATAACTAGTCTCCGTTATAAAGAATCACATAAAAATTAAATTATTTTTCATTGATGTAACCCAATTATTTGAAGACTGTAGAACGCTCTTTAATTTTTTTATAGAATAGACAAACTAGCCTACTTTTATTGGTTACGTTGCCGGCCTTTGAAGGAAGAATACCTATGCTGTTTTTTAAACTATAAGAGGTCGTATCCCCTAAGGAAACCCCGGGGGTCTTTCTTGGGGTCGATTGCACAGCTCGCGAGTTCGCAATAAGTAATCTTAAATTTGAAATTTTCCATATTTTTGTTATTTTTTATTTTATAAAAGTACAAATTGTAATTATTTTATTTTTATCTCACACACTGTTTTATTGTGTTTTTTTTTTTATTTTTATTACTCTTTAATGTATAATATTTTACGGTTTAGATATTTGTTAATATGTGAGGAACATGTATTACTAACTTTTTTTAGTATAGTAGTTTTATTCTAGGAGTACATTGTCTTCACATATAATTATTTAACTAATGTAGGTATACAAAATATTTTAAACCTATTTTAAAAGAGTAAGTGTGGAGTTTCTTGCCCATTCTTCTCCACACGAAACTACCTTTTGGAAGGGGCAACAAGAATCATCTTTATATTTTATTTGACGTTCAAAAGTGCCATTTTAGGTGGTCTAATTGAAATGAATGACTTGACTTGACTTGAATCATCATTTTATAAATATTGTAGACAATATTTATGTAATAATTTAGGTAATTAGCCGTTCAATTAATCCTACGTGTGTGTATTGTTTGCATTCTGGAGTCAATCCAGGATCCGGAGGCCAAAACATTGAAGATATCCAGTACTTAATTGCGCTTCAAACTAAGCAACCTTTCAGTCAAGTGATTGTTATATGAAGATTTAATAAGTACTTGCAGTACTTCTTAAACATGAAATACCATCACAATTCTGAGAAATCAACTAAACTTAGCCAATACAAAGTAGTGATCGATAGGCAAAATAAGAGACTAACAAGGGTATTGTATCATATATTAAGAATAAGTATCCTGAGGAAGGGCGGGCGGTATAAATACATGGCACGTGCGCGAGCGCAGCTGCCAGCCACGTGGCCTCTTTACGCATTCTCGTAAAAATAGATCATTGTCTTAACTCGCGGACACGCCCACAAAACATATTAACCACATCAAAAAGCATAAAACTTTAATCGATCTAATTGTTTAGAACCTGGCTTTCATGAGTGATGTTTTTATAGGTGTTGTTTTATTGTGTTTGGTGTAGTTTTTATTTGACTGAGTTTATGATCTGATCTCTCCGTCAGTGTTTATGTCTTGTACGTAACGTAATGAATAATGGCTTATAATATATTGTAGCTAGCCAGATAAGGCGAGAGTCTATACGAAATAAGTCTGGACAATCCCGTTTGTATACTTCAGGCTTACTATAAAGTCAACGATTATCTAGTTGATAAAAGGGCCTGGGACTAGTGCTAGACAGGCTACTTCTAATCAATTTGCGATATTTGTTTTAAATAAGTGTTGTTTGATGATTTGCTGTTTTAAAAGAGTACCGAGAGTTTTTTACGCCGGCTTTTTCTCTCGGCCTACACCCTCTGTCTTCTTTGCCGATGAGTAGGGATGCCTTCAAATTTAATGACGTGGAATAAGTGATACATGTATCTTATGTTCCATAATAAACATATATCTATCATACGAAAGGAAAACCAATATATAGTCAACATAAAACGAGCAATTCTTTCCAATGTATATTTTATAAAAAAGAAGCTTGCTCTTCTAAGACCTTAACATCTAACAAACTAATTAAGTGACGTTCACAAATGATCAAGCAAATGGTGTTAGGTGAAATAAGTGAATTTCTTGATATATGATAATTCTATGGCTGGCCATGCGTTATACTCGTGAACGGGTTCTACTTGTGGTGACTGGTCGAACTTGAATTCGTGTATGCGTTGATGTTAGTTATTTTGACTATGTATTTGCGTGTTGTTTCCACGAGAATGTAAGTGCGTGCTCCTATTTTACCATTTGTTTTTAATTTATTTTATTATTTTTAATTAACTATTAATTACTTAAGATGTCATGTGAAAGATGGTGTAATGGTTGCAGCTCCTTACAAACATTGTGTAAAACAAAAAACTTGGCGATTTAAAAAAGTTTATTGCTTGTTCTTCTCATCCGTTCTACGCCCTTCATTTGAGAATTGTCAGTAAATGTAAAATTAGAAGTATTTAATATGTATTTTTTTTTTGACGTTCATAAGTGTACATTGTGTTACCTATATGAATAAATGATTTTGATTTGATCTATGGCCTGTTAATTATAAAAGTCTTTTACTACGTTACCATATTATTTCGCCATTTTGTACTAAATAATATGAAACTGAAATACTAACTTAGGGGTGATGACATATACGTATTAAAAGTTAGTTCCTAAGAATTAACTTCCGTTCAGTGACTTCCTTTAGGATGTCTACTTGTGAGCACTAGAATATGTAAGAGTACTTCAAAACGTTGGGGAATTTCATAAAAATGCACTACGCTTGAAAGAAGTACTCTCTAAAAGAAAAAGTAATTAAAAAATGAATTCCTATAGAATAATTATCTTAATCTATCTCAGATTCTATACATTCTTTAAACGCGGAGTAAGTACCGGCCACCTCAAATATAAAATTTAAAAATATATTATTGTGATATTCTTAAAAAAAAAATTGTGTGTAAAATTGCAATTACGTCCATCCGGCTTACAAGAGAATAGAAATCTCTCGTAAAGATGATTCTTAGCAATAATTGTTTGGAATAACAAAAGCCGAAACTTGTTATTAGATAACAATAAGCTACTCTTGAACATTGTTAAAGACAATGACTTATTCAAGTATCTGTCAATATTTGAGCTCATAAATGCTTAACAACCAGTCTACCTGACTTTATAACGGACTGGCTTAAATGCTAAAAGGGTAAGTGGCGTTAAGTGCAGTTTTAATATGGAGTGGGGAAACTCTCCCCATCGATCGATATGGAGCCGCCATCTTGAATTTTCCGACCAATGCCCGTCGCCATGGAAAGCGGTTTCCATAGCAACGCGACGCTTCCGCCTGAAGGGGAAAGTAAAACAGGGTAGGTTCTATATTTATAGCCTTGACTGTCTGCCACCAATGAATACCTCCAACCACCCCTATATAGCGCGGAGGTTTTTTGAATAACTTCCATACATTTAATTTTTTTACTCGCGCTTAGTGATTTTTATTCCATTAGTATATTCATACAAGGGAACGAAAGCAATTTACTAAGCGACAAATATTATTACCCTGATTTTACCGTATCCGTTCACAACTTTTTACATTTCCACTTACCGCACATTGTATTAAAATGTTGTGCCAACACCGTTGCTTCTTTTCAAACCTATCTTTCCATAAATGTAAAACTCTTGTACGAACAACTTCCTTTCAAACCGATTCGGTTACTCTTTGAGTACTTCACATTGTTTATAGACTTGTTTATAACTCTAGTGGTATAGAAACACACCTGCGACCTACCTGTACGTAGAGCAAAATCTTTGAAACTCAACTTTACTGTTTCCTGCGTTTGTTCGTCAACAATAGGCTATAAGGTTGTAACGCTTCATTGCGATGTGCTATTGAATGCCTCTTGTTACTTCACCGTTTAAAATCATGTATTTGCTCAAGAATCTCTGTGACACGTCTATTACTTGGAAATTCACAATGACCCAAGTGTTGCTAATTCCTCTTTGTTAAATTTCCTACCATTTCAATATTTGTTAGACATCGTAATTAATGAAGTGGAACTACGAATAAACAATAATCAGAGATTAGTTAACATGTTTGTTATGTTAATTCGATAATAATATCTTTACAATCTTAAAACCTTAATTTGATATACAGATGAAATCGAAACTGGTCCAATTTAATTCTTATTGAGTAATATAACATCTACAGCAGAGAGGTCATAATAAAATTTATATCACAGTAGCAAAGCTTGCATAGTGATTATTGATTAATAAACATGAATCGCGTTCTAATTATCATATTTTAAAAGGTCCAAATTTTATGTAGACTTTGGACCATACAATGGTATGTGTAGAATTTTTAATTCTGGGTTTGAATAGTTCTTGAATATTAATTTACAAAGCATGTGAGGACGTTATAATGTAAAATGACTTAGTGCAAAGGTATGGATTCAATTAAAGTGTCAAGCTGGAGCAAACGAAGTAGGTAATTTATAATGAGGTGAATTAAATCAGATTCTCCATGACCTGGCTGACATAGAATTCTTATCTTAAACAAGGCCTCAGCCCACACACGAACCAAAGATCATTGACTCTGCAGGTGTCGGGGCGCGCATCGCCAGTGACGTCACCGAGCATTGCCTTACAACCTTATGCGGAGCGGCGCCGGCGCAAGCGCGCTCATTCCGCGCTCAGCAATGCGCATTATGTTTTGATTTACGTTTCTATGGCCATATATGCTAAGCAATACTAACTCAGTCCCTTTTCTTTATTCAAACTATTGTTCGTTTCGATTGTCTACAAAATAAATTATTCATGACTTTCCAATGCCGTCGCTTGATTTTAAACGTAAATATTGTAAAAGTAATTTGCTTACATTTCTACCAAGCAAACAAATATTTGCTACGCGAACACCTGGATAAATATGGTGCTTATAAAAAAATCACTGACCATTTCCGATGTCGTCTCGGGCCTCGCATTTCGGTTTTCCATATTTAGCCGTTCTTCCACTAAAGGGTTGGCATTTGTTTTTGCCTCTAACTCGGGATGGAAAGTTGCTGCTACCATATACCATCGACACAAGTTAAGGACCCTATTAAAAGAAATCACTGCCTTCCTCCGCATGCCGTCCGCCTTATTGAGTTTAATATCATTGCGTTTAATAAGAAAACACAGGTGCGTTGATATGTGAGATTTTAACGAACAAGAACTGGTAATTGAAATGCTTGAAGATGTAGAATGACTGCAATAATTAAGGCTTGATTGGCGCAATGATATCGCCTTCTCTTCTATTAACGACGATAGGTATAAACGAAGTATGGCATTATTAATAAATATCTAACCACACGTGACAGGCATTTTTAATTGTTGTTTGAAGTCTCATTACCCCGCCATGGAGTAATGAGACATTAATGACATTACAATAACATCTTATTTACATCAATATTTACAAAACAAGAGGGAAAAAATGCACGTAAATGGGCGGTCTTACAGCTAAAAGCAGTTTCTTCCAGACAACCCAAATATAAAAATAAAATACAATACAGAACTTAATACTCTATATAAAAAAACTTACAGGTAAAAAATAAGAAAGGTTTATTGGTACAATGTTGTTAATTGTTTCTTAAATGTAAATTTAGTCTGCGAGGTCTGCCAGTGTGCAATACTGTGCCTGTATCAGGGCTGTATTTATAGGCCTGGAGGCTTCGCAACACAGGAGTGGAGGCCCCCTGGCCCCAAATTATTTTCCAAAGTAAATGAATATTTTTTTGGTCGAGTTTTTTGATCAATCATTTATTGTGAAACCAAGTAGATTCTTTTAGTATTTAACAAATATAGTTGTTTACTAGTGTTTACTAGTTGGAATTTTTTACAAATAAAACATTTATTTTTCCGTAGTCCCCATTGTGTGGCCACTCTTCTGTGGAGGCCCCGGGGTCTATAGCCCCAGTTGCCCTCCCCTAAATCCGGCCCTAGCCTGTATTATATTTAAGAACTTTATTATTTTCGATATAATATATATTAGTATGTAAAATTAATTTGTTTTCTTAGTTACCTTCATAGATTTATCGACGTTAATGTTGGGGTCTTAGTTAGATTACTTATAAATACCTAAGTCATCTCTGTTTATAGCATCCGTATAATTAATAAAATTGCGTTATAACAAAATTCTTCGAAGGTAAAATAGCACATTGGTCACAGGTTATCACTGTCGGCGACACCGTGGCGCCTCCTTATCAACCTGCTGCGACATACAAGAGACATTACTCACCGATGTCGATACACTACCGCTATTAGTGAGAACCATAGACCTACAGAACTGGACCTTTACAGCTATATACCTGATTTAAAAGGAAATAATTTAACGTAAAAGTGTATAAGACTTGTAGACACCTAGGAGTGTGCTATAATATTTTATTGTATAAACAAGATATATACTGTATTGGATAGGCTAGTAGAGCAGTGTTGGCTTTAGCATGCGATTCTCATCCCTGAGGTCGTAGTTTCGATCACCGACTGTGCACCAATGGACTTTTTTTCTATGTGCGCATTTAACACTCACTCCTACGGTGAAGGAAAACATCGTGAGGAAACCGGCTTGCCTTAGACCCAAAAAAGTCAACGGCGTGTGTCGTGCACAGGAGGCTGATCACCTACTTATTAGATTGATAAATGATCATGAAATAGACACAGAAATCATAAGCCCAGACCAAAAAAGGTTGTAGGTCCACTGATTTATTTATTTTTTAGTAGTACCAAAAAATATGGGATATCAAAGGTGATTTTTGTTCTGAACCAACTTTTGTTTCAAAGTATCGATTCTATGGGCTCCAAAACGTATTATATTCATCGCCACAAAGGTAACAATGATTGACGTTCCTAAATGGCAAAATGAGCAAGATCATACATGACAGAGTAGACTAGTTACTGAATGCCGACTGGGTACCCCGTAGTGCTCTGACAACTGACAAGCAACAAGAACAACCAAGTTTAATTAATGTTTTTATACGTACGAAGAATTCGTAAGACTTTTTCAGAGCAATGACTTGTTCTCTATTTATCTGAAGTCAACTTGTTTCATTTTTAAACGTCACATTTCCGTCACTGTCTTCGCCATATTCTGAGTATCTGCTGGCCCCAGAAGATCTTTAACGCAACTTTGGGAGATTACCCAGCAGATCAAGCGGCGCAAGTGGAAATGGATAGGCTATAATCCGAAGAAATTCCAATTACATCCCCAAGGCAAGGCACTTGATTGGAACCCGCAAGGAAAGCGGAAGCGTGGCCGTCCCTAGCAAACCTGGAGTGGTACAGTTGCAGATGAGGCAGCCGAAAAGACTTGGAGCGAGGTGAAATAAAAGGCCGAACGCGATGGTGACTCACTGCCCCTTCTGACTTCTGAAAGACATTTCAAAAACTCAAACATAACGGCCCATCTAGATATATAACATAGTTCTATCACATAACAATATGCGCATCTATAAACGATGGTTATTGGTTGATGTGTCGCTTACAAATTGCATATTAAAATCACTGTGCAGGTGTTTATACTATTTCTATGTTATCCCCTTTACAATAGATATTAGATACGTTTACATTATTTATGACAAAAAACCACCTTTTTTAGTAAACGTATATTGTTTCACCATAGATATTTGTTCAAAATTATCATAAGAATTTGGATGACTATAAAAAAATATTAAGTTCGATTTTATGAATGTTTAATAGAAGATATTTTTAACTTTACTTTGACGGATATATTCGGGTATTTAATCAATCAGCAATCTAAACTAATAGTGTAATAAATAGGCGGTGTTTTATTAAAACGTAGTAGGTACTCGCGTAAATCAAAGTCAATATTCTTATCTTAAATTATTTATATGCTTTTTAAAGTGTATATATTTTCATGTTATATAAAACTGTAATTAAATTATTAAACTAAAGATAATTTCATCACGTTTTGTCAAAAAGTGCTTTCGCTGTGTTGAAAGGTGACCGAGCTTTTGTTAAAACAGTATAATGAAAATGGATTTCGTATTGTGATTTGCGTTGGTAAAAATGATAACAGTCCAGCAGCGCTACAACCCTAAATGGGCTTTGGCCTCGGAATACATCTATTTCATTTATAGACAAGTCGATGTTCAGTCTGACTTCTCCTTCTACTTCCTTCTGCCCTTTCAATACAGATCTTATACCTACCGTGTACTTCTTCATATGTTTTCATATATTTGAACACCTTATATATTGTTATAAATCAGTTCATCTGATGTTAAGAGATAGTCCAAGAACAGTCTTAATGCCAGAGACGAGTGCGTAGTCGGCCTATTAAACATATACCAATAAATTAGTTAAAACCTTTTATTGCACGTATGTCTCTAATAGTAGCTAATAGGATTTAAGCGTCCATTCCTCGAAAATTAAACGGTCATTCAAAAAAGTTTGAACCTAATTTAAATTCCAAAATAATCCAGAAAATTATAATGACTCTAAATGACTGACAAAAATGTATAGACAAGCAGAGTTTTTGATTCGAATATCGTTCCGTATCTTTAATTCTTAATGATATAATGAAAAATAATATTTATTATTTAGGAATAAAGCAACTACAAAAAATAATGTTAACTTAAATAAGCTGCTGCTTGGGCATGGGACGGACATAATTCTGGTGTAAATTCGTTGATCATTTTTAATTATTCTGTGCCTAAAAGCCAGAAATAAATTTGGTCCAGCGGGCATGAAACCCATGGCCTCAATGCCACAACGCCGCAAATGCATTCAATAAATATGCAAAATTATTGATAACACAATAAATATATTAAACAACGTATTGAACCCTAAAATGACTTATTAAATCTTGGGAAAATCTCTAAAGATACGACACTGTGAAGGCTTTTAAAACACAATAAAAAACTTACAAGTTCCTTCAATACAAAAATGCACCTGAGAATGAAGGCGGGACCACTTGACTAATATTCCGAGGAATATAAATCAAAACTTAACGATAACATTTAAAACTACCCATCCATTAACGGCTATGCTAACAACTGTGTACAACATGAACTCAAAGTCACGCAATGGATAGTAAACTGAATATTTCGTCTAAAAGTTTTGTATAGGCAACGGGAGGAAGTCGCAGGTAGTGGTAATAATTCGTTTAGTTGAAGGTGCGCCCACATTTTTTTCCTATTGTTGGGAAGGCCCACACAGGTGCACTCATATCCTAATTTACTATTCCCGATACGGTACAGGATCTCTGAGATACGACGGAGTTAATCGCTCTTTGTAACTAGTAGGTCGTGATAGGATTTCGTTATCGTTTATATTAATATTAATGCCATGGAAAGAGTATAATTTGTCACCGTCATTTTGATGGATGTTTTATCGCAATGATCGGATGCAATATCTAGTTTCTATTGGCTAAGAGGCTATTCAAAGCAGGCTTGTATCCGTCGTATAAATTAAAAAGTAGCCTTTTCCACGGATCTTTTTAGCTTTAACGCTTTGGTCGATTGATTTTCAGCAAAGATTAAATCAGATAGACCAAGTAAATTGGTCAGTGACATTAAAAAAATCCGTTTTAAGGTTTTTTACCTACAAAAATATATTCATATATACAGGCAAAATAACTTTTAATCAATATACCAGTTAATCCACAATTACAAATTTAGAATTTTAATTTGTAGGTCGGCAACGCACTCGCGAAACCTCCGGCATTCAGAGTGTCCAAGGGCGGCTGGTACCACTTAAGGACCTATCCGGTCGCCAAACTCCAAAAAACTACATCGTTTCTTGAAGTAGGGGGAATGGAAAAAGTATATGGTGGAGTTGAGTAGTTTATGTATCCATTGAAAGATCGATACACGATTTAAATAACTTCGCTCGATAGAAAAAAATCCAAACATAGCCCATTTTTGACACTTTGAATTCATTTTATGACGAAAATGTATATAGAACATGATTTACACGATATATTTTATCGCAAGCCAAGTAATCCAATTCAGAAAAAAAAATTGATAAAATTACATTAATTTAATGTTTTACATAACTCAGTGCTCCAGCTCGCCACTGCGCCCC